CAAATAAGTGGGCTTCAAATGATTTGAAAATAAATGTGTGAGCTTATTGACTTGGGTCATTCCATGTGCCTCAAGATTATATGATATTCATTATCTTAAGTTTGGGCCCATGTGAGACAAGAATATGCATTAGGCCCTATCCATTCAAGTGATTTGGATGTGGTGCACCCGTAGACTTGGGTAGAGGGATCCTTTGTTGTCGGCCCATTAAACCCATAAGTCCATAATATGTCCTTCAATGCCAAATCAAGATTCGTGACTTATTCACTCCAAGACACGTCGTCCGTGAACAAGTCTCGAGGGGGCATTTGTAGACAATTAAATTTTGAGCCAATAAAATGGCGACAAGTGTCAAATTCCATGTTAAAATCAATTTAATAATTTTCTATTTCATTTGGGAAATTAATCAAATTTTAATTCCTAAATTAAATAGTTAATTAATTGATTATTTAATATATATTGTTGGCCAATTAAAGAATGCCACATGTATATTTTGAAGGCCAATTAAAGAATGCCAAATGTCATTTTCTTGGAGAGTAAAATAAATAATTATTTCTTTAAATAATTATTAAAGAGATAAATAAGTGGAAATTATGGACCAATCAAATTGAAGTCTTCTTTTCCAAGAGTCCATCTTCTAATTATCTCTTTAATAAATAAATATTGGAAATTATGGACCAATCAAAATGAAGTCTTCTTTTCCAAGACTCTCTCTCCTAACACCTATAAATAGGGACCCTCCCTAAGATAAAAGAGAACAATTCATATTCATATTCATATTTCAAGTTCCAAGTTCAAGAGCTCTAGAGAATTCTCTCCACGAGATTCAAGTGTTCTTGAAGATCCAAAGGCGTTCTTGAAGATTCGAAGGAAGATTCAAGCGCGTTCAAGCTCAAAACCGACGTTCAATCCGGAAATAAGCTGCCAAGCCTCCGAATTGCATTATTAAAGTCAAGACCGGCGTAGAGAAGATCAAAATCAACTTTGCGGCGAAGACCAAGGACTCGTGTTCTTCACATTCTTGGAAAATCACAACGTTCGATTCGAGATCAAGCTGTCAAGCCCTCGAAGAAACGTTATTTGAACTCATATTCAAGACCGGCGGAGATCAAACTGAAGATTTGTCTCCAAAAGTCTCAAATCCACTTGAAGATCGTTCTTGAAGAAATTAATCAGAGGAATAATAGAGATTTAGAATCCACTATATTTCATTTGATCCGTTGAAATCCATTTGTACGAAGTTCTCGTGTTTATAAATTCAATAATACGAATTTTGCGTTACAGTGTGTTTACTATATCTGAATATAAATCCAATTATATGATTTTGCAGATAGCTTTGGGATATTACGAGCTCGTTTTTGACGCGGTTTACACCCCTAAAATCACAAGGCTCCTTCGGGAAGCTGGCGAAATGGGAGCCAAAATTGTGACAGGAGTCGAAATGTTCATCAGCCAGGCTTATGAACAATATGAGAGGTTCACTGGCTTGCCAGGTAAAGAACAACCTTATATAAATGAGAAAAAGAAAGCACAAAGAGAAAAAAAGCTTTATTATCGATACAAGTTGATTTCATTTAGCTTACAGTTAATCATTTAATTACAGCTCCGAAGCAACTGTTCAAGGAAATCATGAAAGATTACTGACAAATAAGGCCTCTCTGGCTGCACAGACACCCGATTTCCTTCAATAGTGAAGTCAGGCACAAGAATGACATTTTACCATCAATTTTTTTCATGTTAGATGGCATATTGGTGTCCTTTTTATCTTATTGTTGTAGGATTATTTCATGTTGATTTCATTTACTTTTTTTTTTTTCCCCTTTCAATAACAGCAGTGGATCTTTTACTGTTGGAAGAGAGGTTATGATTTCCAAAGCCAAATTTTCATAATAAATAATAATAATAAGTTGGGGTAAGACTACAATCCCGTTACGGAACCATTCCGTTGGGATTTGTAACCGTTCGATCAATTATCATTGGCGGTTACTTGACGATTTAACGGTTACAATTCCAATGGAATGGTTCCGTAACAGGATTGTAGCATTTTCCAATAAGTTGGCCGCTATCTGGAAAAGATAAATGAATTTGGATTTTACGAAACTTGGTACAATTGTCAAATTAATCATCTTTAAGTTTTCAATTTGATCTAAAAGGTTCATAAAGCTTTCCACAGGATTTGTGAATTTTTGCATCAAAATTGAAAAATCTTTACTGTAAGAGTGACCGATAAAGACTCTGGATATTTCATGTATGAAATAAAAAATAATTATTTGTATTGTAAAATATGCCAATGTTATCTATTAGTAAAACTCGCTGAAGGTTTACCGTAAGGAATATAAATATAGAAACATTATTTTCTTTGTATAAATAATATAAAATAATATTTTCGGGAAAGTTCCTTCATTATTTTTATCCGTAGATCATTTATCTACACTAATCTATATGGTGTATCTACGGTTAAAAGTACCGGCGAAATGATTCCGTAACGAGACTGTAGTCATCTCGAATATTTTCTTTATGTTTACCACATAGTTTGAAAATATTTTTTTAATATATAAAAGATGGTAATATATGAAATAAATTGAAGAAACAAGTGGATTACTATAACAAGATCAAACTATATGTTTTTTTTTTCTCAGAACGATAGGATTACTATTCATAAACTCAAAGAGAACAAAGTTCTAATACAAAGGGTAATACCCTACAAACCGAAAAGATCAAATTGAGAGGCACGCAAAGAGCGGCCTAGACCCTCAACAAACTAAAGATATCAATAAAAATTGACAAAAGGAAATTATGAGCCTACCCACTGCTCAACGAGCCTAGCTAGGATTCAACATCTCCAAACTCCAACAAAGAAACAACAAAAAAACTGAGACTGTGCAACTCCAAGATTACAATGCAGAGATGGTCCATCCAATCTTGTGTAGCCTTAATGACAATATGCACTGACATGAGAGAATGTTGACACCTAGAGATTCCTTTGTTATACGTATAAAAATATTTTAAAATATAATAGATAAAATTTGTCCGTTTAATATCTATACACATGTTTTATAAATCCCCTTATATATAATTGCAGAATGCACTAAGTCTAAGTGGCAGCCTCGCCAGCTTCGAAATTCTACTTGGCGAAAAAACATGCTTTGTAGTTTAGTTGAATAAAAAATAATATTATTCTATATCAATATTTTTGGTTCAGACATTCAAAAAATACTGAAAAACTAACTTGGTAATTCCATAATAGTTTGACTAATATAAACTGTAAGTTGTATTGGAACCTTTTGTAATGGTATTGATTGACTAATATAACCTTGATTTCTTTTGGAAGCTCTCAATCAACTCATTAATTTGTATTGAAATCTCAAATTAGTATAATAAATACATATATTTGATTTTAAACAATTGTTGTTGTTATTATTATTTAATATTAAAAATAATTTTCTTATCAAGTACCGTATAGTACACGGGTATTGTACTATTATATTTTTATTTAAATAACTTATCCACAACTTTTTTAACTGGAAGCGGGTGGCGTAATAGTGATATTAACCAATTTTGGAGTCTCCCGCGGTGCTACCCGCCATGTAGTGCCTTATGCCTATATACCGATTTAGGGTTTTGATTTTCCCTCCAAAAATCCCAAATTGGGACATTCCGCCCACAATTCTCCCTGTGATTTCCCATAGGCTCCGAACACTGTCGCATTAACGCGCCGCAGTCTCCAATATCTCCTTTTTCTGTTCGTTCGCTGTTCTGTTTTCTCAAATCCTGTAATTATCGTCTGATACTCATTAGATAAAAACTTCATTTTATATTTCATCTTCGAATTTCTGTAGTTCTGTTGGGCCGCAACCATCAGTTGACTTTCTTGTTTTCATCGAGTTGCAGATGAAAAATGGGTTTTTATAAAGATGTCAGCAACCGCGACGCAAATGATTCTAAAAATAACAATTTCAATGTAGATTCGCGCGATTTCGAGACCCAGCAAGTCGACAGTCAATGCCCAGGTATGTTATTTTGTTTGGCGCTTTTATTCCTGACGATTCCATTAGATTTCCAATTCAGGGATTATTTCAGTAGCAAAAGTAATTTAGATCTTCTAATCCTGCTTTCAGATGGCAGGGAATTTTAATTATTTCTCTGCAAAATTAGGTCTTTTCTTTTGATAAGGGGCATTACAGTTCGAGTAATATTGTTTACATTAGTTTTGGGTTTTGATTTGCTGTTGAGTTATTCGTTAGATCATATTATGTTATCTGTGAGTAATAAGAGTTTCATTATGTGTGTTCAAGCATAAAGAGTTGCCCGTGTAATGATTGGGTAGGTGTTTCATCGAGTGGTTTGGGCCTTATTATTGCTACAGTGAAAGTTTGTGGTGAAGTAAAACAATGCTATTAACTTAGTTTTTCATATCTAGATAAGACACAACTGTGCTGGTGTCTGAGTTGAATTTATAAGAATTCTCTGTTTGCCTAATGTTTTCGTAAAATATAACCTTTTTGTTTCTTATACAATATAAATGAATTGTTTACTGGTTTTTTGCTATTGTAAAATTTCAGTTGGTGATGGCTACGAAATTGATGACTTCCAGTATCCGACAAATACGATGCCTGTTGATGAGTGTTATCTATTTGAAGATGCATTCGAAACTCAGTATGTGAATCTTGCTGGGGAAACTCAAGTGGTGGATGATGTTGACGAAACTCAAGTGTTGGAGGATCTTGATTGCATGAAAAATATGCCAATGGAGTTCTTTGATGAGTTAGATACTGTGGCTGTTAACACATCTGAAGGTGCAAATAAAGATGAAGCTTTCTATGAGACCCAAGTGTTGTCCCAGGATGGGTCTGAGAAAATTGATGATGTGGATTCAGTTAGTGTGGAGAACACTTCAGACACCTTCAGACAAGGTAATGCATTTATTATTATTAGTATTATTGTTTTTCCTTGAAACTATAAATATATTAATGAAAGAGAAATTACAGAAGATTACAGCTAAAACAGCTGAATCAACCAACTAAAAAAGCTGAATCTAGGAGGACTGCACTAAGACAACCTAGATATACAAATGCATACACTAAAACAAAATCCAAGCCCAAAACAATTCCCACAAGGGAGAATAAAACAATTCCCAAATTGCTGAAATTGCAAAAAGTATATGCTTTTGTGGATAGCAAGTATTTCACAAGGTTAGTCTGACTGAGTCTGTGATGATGTGTTTTTTCAGAGCCGTTCAGCAGAGGATTTACTTCAATCCGGACTGCGTCAATCAGGTCCTCTGGTTTGGCAGCCCGTGAACATGGAGCTAAACGCAATTCATGCCCCAGTAGTAGTGACAAGTCCTCTCTAGAACAAGAAACATTTAAAAAAGGCAATACATCTTTTGCTCAGTGTTCTTTGGAGTCTGGCATGAAAAACTGTCACAGTGGCCTTCGGGATGTATCCATGGAAGATACTGGACAGCTCGGAAACTTGGACAAATGCAAGGTGGCTTGTGCAGCCGTCGTCAGGAAACTTTTCAAAGACGTTGAATTTGCTGAGGTCGATGAAACCGAAGCCTATGATATTAACCAAACAGATGATATTGCCGACATATATTCTGAAAAAGGCTGTTTGGCTGGGTTAAGCTATGCCAATTCTCAGGAACCTGGGGAGCTTTCACAAGCCCATGCACTCGAGGTTGTGGACAAGTTTCTTGATGATCATGTTATGGATCTTGGTGATGGTGTGGGGACTACAGTTAAAAATGCCCAGAAAAAAACAAAGATTGCCTCTGGCGTGAAAGGTTCACGTGAATTGGCTAAAAAGACTTCTGCTTTGAAAGAAGTGAATGGGGAAGATGGAATTTATGATTGGGATAATAGTCGTGAGGATGATGGCGGAGGGGAATTTTTCATCAAGAAGAAAGAACTGTTTTTTGAGAATGGAGATGGAAAAAAGAGATGCCTTTCCAGACCTAAGAATCCCAATGGAGATGAAAAGGAGCGGAACTGCACTAATAGCAAACATAAGGATTTGGCTTATTCAGATTCAGAGCCGATGTTGCGTAAAACTAGAGCAAAGGGAAAAAGTTCTTTCAATAGTGTGGAAAGAAGCTTGACCCAAAACGATATTATAAAGGATTTAGTTGATGAACAGCTAAATGTGGAGGTCGAGCCTAACTTGGTCGTGACTGAGAAAAACAAGGATAATAACATAGAAATGAATGATGTGGGTGCCGATACTCAAATGGCTGCTGAGGCAATGGAGACGTTGTGCTTCGAGGTCCAGTTGTCTGAAGATAATGGGACTAATAAGAATCCTGACACAGTTAAAGCTACCAGAAAAAATCAATTGACTGACATAATAATAACCGCCCGTCCAGAAAAATGCTTGACCGAGGAAAGACCCCACAGCCCGAGTATTGGAGTGGTCACTCGCAAAGCCAAGCAATTAAAAAGGACACGCCAAATCATAAGTGATAAGCCGTCCGTTTTGCCAGAAGCTATGGATTTGACTGATTTGTCCAATAGCAGGGTAAAGTTGACCGGTCAAAAGTCCGAGAAAAAACGTCTGTTGGAGGCCCATTCCTTGCCTGTGGCTCATCAAACTCGGAAAGGCACAGAGTTAGGTCGTTCAAAAGCAGGTGCCAAGTCGTTTGTTACCAGGAATCACTTAAATCGTCTGGTATGCATCGCTCGGAAGAGAACAGCTTCAAACGATGAAAATGCAGAAACCATCCATATTAAGAATGATAAAAAGATTTCATTGACCAGATCTGGCGCTTCACATATTGCTGCAGTAGACAATTTATCAGAGGAAATTGTTCGAAAGGAAAGTCTTGCTGTGGATCATGCTGATGCACAAATGGCCGCTGAGGCAATTGAGACGACCTGCTTCGAGGTCCAGTTGCCTGAAGATAATGGGACTAGTAATAACCCTGATACAGTAAAAGCTACCAGAAAAAATCAATCGAGTGACATAATAACTGCCCGTCCAGAAGAAAGCTTGACCGAGAAAAGACCCCACAGCCCGAGTATTGGAGTCATCACTCGAAAAGCCGAGCAATTGAAAAGGACATGCCAGAGCACGAGTGATAAGCCATCCGTTTTGCCAGAAGCTACTGATTTGACTGTTTTGTCCAATAGCAGGGTAAAGTTGACCGGTCAAAAGTCCGAGAAAAAATGTGAGTTGGAGGACCATCTCGGCTTTTCCGTGCCTTCGGCTCATCGAACTCGGAAAGGCACAGAGTTAGGTCGTTCAAAAGCAGGTGCCAAGTCGTTTGTTACCAGGAATGACTTAAATCGTCTGGCATGCATCACTCGAAAGAGATCATCTTCAAAAGATAAAAATGCAGAATCCGTCCATATTAAGAATGATAAAAAGAGTCGGTTCAACAGATCTGGTGCTTCACATATTGATTCTGTAGACAATTTACCAGAAGAAAGAGTTCGGAAGGAAAATCTTGCTGTGGATCATGCTGATGCACAATGTCATAATCCAAGATTAAAAAGATTGAGAAAGGTTGGAACGGATTTTTCTTCAGATCAAAATGTTGAAATTGGAAGTTCAAGGCATGATGCCACTCAAAATGCTACTGATCAGGAAAAAGTTGGTGCCAGCTCATCTGAGGAAAATGGCGAGAACAATATTGCTGAGAAATTGCCGGATGCTACAAAAGCAAATGACAAACTAGAAGCATCTCCCCCTACTGCTGCTTCCAGAATACCAGCAAACAGTGTGTCTCCTATCTGCATGGGTGATGAATACCACACACAGTCTTGCAGAAAGAATCTTGCGAGGATGTCTCTTATTACAGAAATGATTAAAGCTGTACCTGCCTCGCCCGGCTCGTTTAATGGGAGGAAAGAGTCAAGAAAGAGGAAAGATATTACAAATGTTAGAGTCTTGTTTAGCCAGCACCTGGATGAGGATGTTATCAAGCATCAGAAAAAGGTTTGTTTATTTTTTTTCTCTCCTTTCATTTTATCTTGTACTTTGTTACTTTCGACCAAAGAAATAATATTATTTTTATTGCTTTGGCTATTAATTAAGTTGAGATTGTTACAAATTATACCCCTAACATGTAAATTGGAAAGGATACTTTTTTCAGATGCCTCCCATTTTGTGGCAGATGAATTTGTCCGAACTAGGAACATGCTAGAAGCCATTGCTTCTGGAAAGCCTGTGGTCACTCACTTATGGATCGAAAGTTGTGGACAAGCTAGTTGTCTTATTGATGAGAAGAATTACATACTTCGAGATTTAAAGAAGGAAAGAGAGTTTGGCTTCTGTTTGCCAGCTTCTCTCACAAGGGCAGGCCAACATCCACTATTACAGGTACATGGTGGATTATTGCTAAAATATGATTCTTTAACTCTATTTTAATTTATTCTTTTTTATTTTTTCCTTAGAATTCTGATGCAATCTTATATTCTTTACCGCAGGGCCAGAAAGTTTTGATTACCCCTAATACAAAACCTGGAAAAGACATTCTAGCAAACTTGGTCAAAGCGGTTCATGGTTTGGTAAGTTGTCCATGAATTTATTAGCTTCTATTTTTCTTTGGAACTTGAGCAAGTTAATTGACACCACGAAACTCTCTTAGTTTAAATTGACTTGTCAATGGAACTGTTTGAATTGAAGATATTGATTTTTGTTTGCATTCTTCATCAGGTGATCGAGAGAGTCGGTCGATCTGTACTGAAGGATGAAAAACTTTCGGATGATCTTCTGATCTTATCTTGTAATGAAGATTATGATGACTGTGTCCCTTTTCTTGAAAAAGGTAAATATATTCCGACAAACTAGTGCTGTTAGATAGAACTAGGAACATTTTCTGATCAACTGATTATTGCAGGTAGCCCTGTGTATAGTTCGGAGCTGGTGTTAAATGGAATTGTTAAACAGAAGCTAGAATATGAAAGGTTTGTTTGTCATTATTTGCATGGTGTATGTTCCATCTTCAAAAGGTTGATTATTTGAAAGTTGGCATATTTTGATTAATCCCGTGGCCATTAATTTCCAAGTACCTGTTTTTCGTCAAAATCATATTCCCTTTTCATTGAAGTTTGTGTATACTCAATTACTATACCTTTAACAGCTTTATTTATAATTTTGAAACTTAAGTCTTTTTTTTGTCCCTCTGCTATGCCTTAAACATCGAGTAGTTTGCAAAGTAACTGTTAATTTTCTGCATGAAATATTGTTGATTTTATCATTTGTGCACAAGGTTGAGGTTCTAGTAGGAAAGTATTGTGAACTAGTCATAAATATTGGTCTGAAAATCCTTGCGGTGAACTTTTTTTTACCCCAATTATTGGCAGGCATCGGCTCTTTGATGATCATGTTAAAAGGACCCGATCAACAATATGGATGAGAAAGAAGAACGGATATCGTCCTGTAACAAAATGCAAATAAGGCGATAGCCCTCTTTTTTCGTGCAGCACCCTCAATGTGCCTGTTTTGTAAATTACAAGAGACGTGTTGTTCGTGTTAGTTTTACCTGTAAATTTTGCAGTCAAATAATGTTGTTTGTTTCACTGTTCAAAGCCGTTATTCATGATTCCCCTGCCATCATTTAGTTTTTGGGTTATTATCTTTTCTTTGTGAATTTTTCGATGAGATGCTCTTTTGAAGCACAGTATGGTTGAAGTTGTGTTGAAGATGCTAATCCTTCTATATGACAAGCGTTTTCGGTACAACCGGTAATATCGTCGGTATTATTAGATTAGCAAATATAATAGTTGTTGGGCTTAAATGCAGAATGTGTGATCGTTTAAAGTATTCCAAATCAAATATGGAAGAAATAAGACACCAAGATTTAATGTGGAAAACTTTTAATGTGGAAGAAAAACCACGGGACAAACTCCGAACAATTCCGCTATAATGTCGAGATAATTACAATATCTTTTCACTCTCCTATACTAGAGATGTAAAATATAGTGTTTCAGTGAGACCTCATTCTTATTCAAATATTCCAAACAAGGAGTAATATAGATGATACCCAACCCTTTGTATTTTTTTCACACTCAGGATTTCCTCAACACTCTATTTTTCTCTCACAGAAAATCTAACACTCACAGAAACTAGATGTTTCTGCTATTTTTTCTTCTCTTGCTTGGTGTATTTTTCAGCACTTGGTTTAGTGTTATTTATAGAAGAGGAATACTTCAATTTGTCAAAGATGGCAGCTCATAACAACCATAAATTACGGCTCAAATGTTGCTCATTGAATGCTTCAATTTAATGCTGCTCAACACCCATAAATTTGGCTGGATGCTGACTATTCCCCTCCTACAGCCAAAGGAAAATATTCTGCAAATCTTCACATGCAAGCCATGCTGATTATCTCGGCACAAAGCTGAAGCTTTCCCCCTGTTACAACTTTCGTCATCATGTCAGCAGAGTTTTCGTTAGTGTGAATCTTTTTCAACTTGAACAGTTGATCTTCCACTACTTGGCGCAACCAATGATATCTGACATCAACGTTCTTCGTGCGAGAGTGGTACATCGCATTCTTACTTAAATCCAATGCACTTTGACTATCGCAATGGATATTGTTTCCTTTCCTGCTTCATTCCTAATTGTTGAAGAAACCTTTTCAACCAAAGCATTTCTTTTCCTACTTCTGTCATTGCTACATACTCAGCTTCAGTAGTCGACAATGCAATAGATTTGTGCAATTTATTGCCAAGATACAGCTCCTGCTGCAAATGTAAACACAAGCCCTGGAGTAGATTTTCCGCTATTCATGTCACCTGCCATATCCGCATCTATATAACCTTCAAGAACTGGGTTTCCTTTACCGAAGCTCAAGCATTTATTCGCACTACCTTTTAGGTACCTTAAGATCCACTTCACAACTTTTCAATGATCCATCCCAGAATTGAAAAGATACCTGCTAACAATTCCAATTGTGTGATTCTTATTTAGTCTAGCACAAACCATGGCATACATCAAACTCCCGACTGCCGAGGAGTATGGAACACCCTCCATAGCTTCTTTTCCTTCTTGATTCGTAGGACAACTTTGTTTGTTGAGTTTGAAGTGATTGGCCAACGGTGTATTGACTGGCTTAGCTGTTTTCATGTTGAATCTTTCCAGAATCCGATTCACATACCGTTTTTGTGATAACAATAACATCTTAGATTTATCGGTCTCGCATGATTTGCATGCCCAAAATTTGTTTCGCAGTGCCCAGATCCTTCATATCAAAAGACTTTGACAATTCCTTCTTCAGATCACCAATCAACTTCATATTCTGTCCCACTATCAACATATCATCTACATATAACAAAAGAATAATGAATTTATCACTTAGAAATTTCTTAACGAATGTACAATGATCTGCATCAGTCTTCGTATATCAATGGCTCGCCATAAACAAGTCAAATTTCTTGTACCACTGTCTTGGAGCTTGTTTCAGTCCATACAGACTCTACTTCATACGCTCTTTCCCAGTCTTCTCAAATCCTTTTGGTTGCTCCATGTAGATTTCTTCATCTAGGTCTCCATGAAGAAATACAGTCTTCACATCTAGTTGTTCAAGCTCCAGATCCAAGCTAGCCACCAATCCGAGTATTACTCGAATAGAGCTCATCTTTACAACCGGAGAAATATCTCATAAAAATCTATTCCTCACTTTTGTCCAAATCCTTTCACAACTAAGCGAGCTTTGTATTTCAACAGTTTGTCACCATCTTTCTCAAGCTTGAACACCCATTTGTTTTTCAAGACTTTTCTGCCTTCCGGAAGCTTCACAAATTCATAAGTTTCATTTTTCACCAGTGAATCCATTTCTTCTTGCATAGCTTTCATCCACTGGGATTTATCCTTATGAGTCTGAACTTCTTCAAAGCTTTCTGGCTCCCCTTCTTCAGTGATGGTAATATACGTGGAACTAGGGTATCTCGTAGACGGTTCGATCAATCTATTTGATCTCCTGAGGTAAGACGGAGATTTGAGGTCTTCTTGCTCTACACCATCACCATCTTCTATTGTTGGCTCATCATCAACCCTGAGTTCTCCATCACACTCTTCCCCTATTGTGGCATCTCTAAGAGGTTTAAATGAGAGTATTTAACATCATGTCTGGACCATACTCTTTCAGGGATATCAAAGCCCAAAGGTACAGATGGAGATCGGTTAATCAGGTAGCACGCTGTTAGAACAACTTCACCCCAGAATGGCTTAGGTAGCTTAGCCATTCTTAACATACACCTCACTTTCTCCATAATGGTTCTATTGATTCTCTCAGCCACACTATTATGTTGTGGGGTTCCACGTACATTCTTCTCATGCCTGATGCCATGCTCTGCACTATAATTCTTGCATTCGTGGGAAGTATACTCCTCTCTATTATCTGTGCGAAGACACTTTAAGGGTTTACCAGCTTGTCTCTCCACCATAGCATGAAACCTTTTGAAGTACTGAAAAACTTCGTCATTTGTTATCAAGAAGTACACTCACAATTTTCGTGAAGCATCTTCAATAAATGTCACAAAAATATCTGCTACCACTGAGGCTCTCCACTTTCCTGGGTCCACGTACATCAGAATACACCATTTCCAACACAGTCTCTTTCAGCTTCGAGGTTTTGCTGAAAGACACTCTATGATGCTTCCCAAAGAGACAATAATCCCAAGGATTCAGTTTTGAATCTTTTGTAAATGGGATGAGGGACTTTCTCGCCAAAATCTATAATCCTTTTTCACCAATATGAGCCAGCCTTTTGTGCCACAAGTTTTGGCGAAGCATCATCGTCAACTGCTTTCAATCCAACCTTGATAAATTTCACTCGAGTTCTATACAGTGTAGATTTCACTGTACCTCTAGCATTTAACAATAATCATTTGGTAAGCCTCCACAGGCCGTAACCAAAATTGTTAGAGTAGCCTATTAGATCCAAAGCATGCACAGAGATCAGATTCAGACGCAAGTCAGGTACATGTCACACTTTCTTAAGTGTTATTGTGCACCATATATTGATTTGAATGTACACATCACCAACTCCCACGATGTCTGCAATGATATTAGTTCTCATCTTTACTCTGCCAAAGTCTCCTTCTTTATACAGAGAAAAGAATTCATTGTGAGAAGTTGCATGGTATGATGCTGCTAAGTCAATGACCCATTCAACACATGAATCTGCAACATGACACTCTTCTTCTTCAACAGAGAGCAACACCACTTCCCCATTGATTACAGGTGTAGCGGTATTTTTGTCGTTCTCTGCTTTGGTGATCCTCCGGTCTCTGTTCTTCCAGGCTTTGCAGTACCTTTTGATATACCCTTCTTCACCGCAGTGATAACACTTGAATTTTTTCTTGGGCTGAGATTGTGATTTATCTCCAGATTTGTTTCCGTCCTCTGCTTTTACTTCTCCCCCTGGTTTCTGTGAGTAGGGCTTGGGAGCTGCTTTCCCCAGAGTCTTTTCTTCTTGTTTCTTCATTGAACATACTGTCTTTGACTTGGGTCAAAATCAGTTTTCCTTCAGGAGTATAATTGCTCAACGAAACCACCAGAGTCTCACAGCTATTCGGTAAAGAACTCAAAAGTAACAGCGCCTCCAGTTCTTCATCAAGTTTCATTTCCATTATAACAAGTTGGTTTACCATGTCTTGAAACTCATTCAAGTGTTCTGCAATTGAACTTCCATCCCGATATTTTAAATTACAAGCTTCCTAATGATGAAAGCTTTATTCTGTGCAGTTTTCCTTTGATACATTTTCGACTCTGTGGAAACATGGTGGAAGATGCTGATATCCACCCATTGTCTAATTAAGCTGACAACCTTCATGTATAATTTTTTCCTATAGTCATCCTTCACGTCATCTGGCTTGTTATCTCCCCTTTCTACCGGATCATACAAATCTCCTCTATTTTTTGCTTCTAAATGGAGTAATTTGTTACTGTCAGCTTCACCATGGTACCCACGTTCTCTTCCATTTAATTTACACTGGTCGATATAGAGCCAACTTGAGCTCTGATACCACTTGTTGGGCTCAAATGCGGAATGTGTGAATGTGTAAACTATTCCACATAAAATATGCAAGAAATAAGACACCAAGATTTAACGTGGAAAACTTCCAATGTGGAAGAAAAACAACGGGACAAACTCCGAACAATTCCACTATATTGTCGAGATAATTACAATATCTTTTCACACTCTCCTATACTAGAGATGTAAAATATAGTGTCTCAATGAGACCTCACTCCTATTCAAATATTCCGAACAAGGAGTAATAGAGATGATACCCAACCCAGTGTATTTTACCCACACTCACAGGATTTACTCAGCATTCTAATTTTTCTCTCACATAAAATCTAACACTCACAGAAACTAGATGTTGTTTCTGTTATTTTTTCTTCTCTTGCTTGGTGTATTTTTCAGCACTTGGTTTAGTGCTATTCATAGAGGAAGAATACTCCAATTTGTCAAAGATGGTAGCCCACCACAACCATAAATTACGACTCATTTAATGTTGCTCATTGAATGCTCCAATTTAATGTTGCTCAACAACCATAAATTTGGCTGGATGCTGACAATAGCATATAATAATTTTAGTATCAAATATGAAAAGAATTAAAAATATAAATAGCTATATTACCAAGTCTTGTACTTCTCAATAAAATAAAAATAAGACAACTAAGTTCAAGTTTTAATTTTTCAAGTAAAAAATTAAATTCTTTTTTATGATGCTCTTAGTGGAATATACTTTTTTTTTTGGCACAGTAGTGGAATACAGTTGAATAGCTTATGTTGTTCAACTCAGGCTTCAAATTTTCATGTGATTACAAACTTAGTAATCGAATCTAAGCAAATCAGCAAGTTATGAAATAACATAATAGCTTTTGGGGGTCCTCATTCAAAAATAAAAAATAATAATAATAATAATAATAATAATAATAATAATAATAATAATAATAAGTAAAATTAGGTTTTCAAGTGGACACATGACATTTGTTATAATATAGGTGCATGCACCTCGTGAGAATAAAATAATATATGTGAATGACTATTTTACCCCTGATGTAATTGTATTATTACGATTGTGACATTAGAAGTTTTCCTATAAATAGGAACTTCATTTATAATGAAAATACAACCAAGAGAAAACATTCTCTATGTTCTCTATATTTCTCTCTATATTTATGACAATATTTATGTGATAAGTTTTATAACACTTTATCAGCACGAGTCTCTGCACTCTAGAGCTCGATTTGTGATATGTCGAGAGTATACTCTACAGTTGCGTCTTATAGACGATCTTCTGCATCAGAAATCGAAATATTACAAATTTTCTTCTTTCATCAAACAAATACTTTATAACAGTAAAATTGTCTTTTCCTGGTCATAGAAACATAAAAACAAAAGAAAAATAAAAAGGAAAATCGAGATGACATAGCTACTTGTCGGCAACCTCAAGACGATATCAAGTCTGGCCGCTCTCCTGAATATAGACAAAATCGAACCACCACCAGAATTTAGTTTCAGATTCCGGGTGCTGCCATGTCATCATGGTGCTGTTTAAGAGGAGTCGCCGAACACAGGTACTTGTGTGATAAAAAGAATTTTGGAAGGAGTAATGCTGATATGGTAAGCAAATTCGATCTTTGGGTGGCTCTCAATTTACTAACATAATAATAAAAGGATATGGTCTCTTTTTCTATGCAATTTGCATTATCAAGTGTCGGTAGAAACTTCCAAAACCATCATAATGCTACAACTATAATGAATGAGGTCCCACATATTTTAAAGTAGTAGTAGCAAAGTTGGACACATGAACATAATAAATACACATGACGCACACACATTTTGTGTGTATGAATATTTTTTATTTTATGCTTGATAAGTAGATACCATGATTAATTCCTGTATACACCAAAAGCATATACTATTGAAATTATAATATGATACTGTTCGAGTGAACAAAAGATTTAATTTAAGACCAATATTGATATGGTTTATTATATGATTATGAAATGTTTGATTAAAATATATATATATATTTGGTACGTGGACATGTGTATATTTATAGATTGATTCATGTGATATGAAATATGTAGTGCCAGAAGCACATGTACAAAGTATAATTTATCACATGAGAAATATGATAGAAAATTATACCTCTTATATAAAACTGTATATTTACTTGATTTAATTATCTTTATGAACATATCTTGTTTGATATGTATCCTATTAATGTTAACATTAATTGTTAATATTTGAAAGTGATATGTTCAGTAGACATTATCATCTACATAAAGATTATTTTAAATGATAGATTAAAATATTATATAACTTATAAAATATTTTATAATTTAATTGTTATACTTCTGAAGACTTATAACATATGTAGTGCCTGAAGCATATAGTGTTCACATAAAATTGATTTATTATATTTTGATGCTCAACTTATATATTTGATAATTAGCATGAGCAGTTGATTATAATTGAATAATTATTTTTCATAATTTTCCCCAAATGGTGCGTGGAGAATCGAACATTTCCCATCTGCGATTTATTATTATGCACAATCTTATATCACCACCAATTCGTACCTTTATGGACCAATATTATAAACTAGGTATGCTATAATACTCTGTCAGATTTTTAATACCTAGAGGCCATTATAGGGGGTCAGTTTATTATTTGGTACGTATTGTGCGAAAATATTTAACGGCATTAGGGGGAGATATGAGCATAAATTTATTAATGCCGTAAAATATTTGAAATATTAATGTTTTCATTATCTGAAAACCACGCAATAAAATTGAACTTGAAGTTCATTTTCTGCCAACCGAAATTTATAGTAATAATGGAGTGAGCAATTTGTATGTATCTAAATGTACCACAAAAGTAAGAAGAATCCTTAGGGAATGATTGCCTTCTTAATGCTAGAAGCATAAGGTGATATAATTAATATATGATGTGTGAAAGTCCGCGGAAAATATATATTCAAGATTTAACACTCCTTTATAAAGAAACTCCCGGAGAGTTGATCACGTATATCTTGCACGTGCATCAAATCATTATAGTACTGGAAATGCGGAAAAGCCAAAATTAAATGTTACGGGAAATGATTATAAATATGGCTACTAAATATGAAGTTGCGCATATGGTTGAGAGAATATAAATTGAATATCATAGTTGTTGACAACATAATTGCCTATGTTATTTCTTTACTATCTCAAATAATGATCCGGATCAAAATAATGAAAGTGCTAGAAGTACTTAGATTGATTGAGATAGAAAGAAAAATAAAGGCAGAGTTTTCACTCGCTACATGATATATCCCAGAAGGATAGTATATCCCAGAAGGATAATGAATAATTATATGTGATATGGTGGTGTGATATAAATATAGCGAGATTATAGGTTTACGCAGAGACCTAAAATTTTATAAAATTTCTCTCATTATCAATGATTCCGCAAGTTAATATATATGGCAGCAAAATTATCATGACTATTGAGTCATATGTGAAAGTTCTGGATGGACTCGAATACCCGAGATGAAAGATAATTAAATCATTTAATTATATAAAGTTGTTGGTAAGATGTGGTACAACCAACAAAATTATTCCTGAAGAAGTATTCAAGGTAGAACCTTGTGTATAATATACAAAATGATCATCTCGGTTAAATAGATTATGAACACTATGTAAAAGATTAAATAAGTTAGCTCATGCTTATAGACGAAGTTATAATAAAACTCTTGGTTAAATATCAAAGAGTATTATCTCGACTTGAAGATCGAGCATCTCCTAGAAGGAGTATTTGTAAAGATCCCAAAGAAACTAAAAATATTATTATTACTGAAGAACAAGTACATAAGGATCATATGATGGAAATACAGATAAGAGGTTGTGAATCCTCAATAAATATGCGAAAAATATTACATAATAGAACCCATTAAAGTAGGGTGCGTCTCGAGAGTATAAACTCCGTAACTCTGCCACCCATGATTATTATTTGGGTTCATAATGAAAGATCTGAAGGATCAAAAGCTCTTTTTCGCTTGACCCCTTGTGTTTCCATAGAATCTTGAAATGTGATGCATTCTTGAAGCTTTTTGATAAGCTCAGAAGGCGTGTCTGCAGATTTGAATACTTCTCTCGTTAAAGGAGATATAAAGGTTTGATATACTCATTCGTCTAAAAATCCAAACAAACCATGAAAATAGTTATTAAAATTCAATAGATCTATGGGCTTATTATGAAGTTTCAATTCTGCCCAAGAAGCAATGATAAACATTGTCATTAAAGTTCCATAACCACCTGGAAGAATGATAAAAGCATCACTATTATTCACCATATCCATCATACAGTCATGAATAGAATGACTTAGCATCAAACTTGTGGAATCTTTGACGACCCTTGTTGAAACTCTATGAAAAGGTATGATACTTTTCACTTCTATATCAAAACATTTTCCAGCCATTAAAAGGTTATCAAAGAAAGTGATGCTAGTTCCTCCATACAGTAAATTGATTTTTTGATTCCCCATCTCCCTTTCTAGTTGACTTACAATATCAATATTTTGAGAAAAACTTACCAGTTTAGAACCACCAAGAACACATATGGTTTTGATCGGATGAAGAAATTTATTACCTTGAGAAGACTCTGAAACATCCATCTATTGATAAACTAAATTTTGTGAGTTATATGATTATGATGAATGACTCGCTATTTAAAAGGGATGTTTCACAAAACGATAACCGACAGATAAGGCGTTAAGTCTTCAAAGAATCTTATGTGTCGGCAGCTATAAGATTTTCTGAAAATTAAAGTACAAAATACAGAAATGTATTTTTAGTACTAGCAAGAACAATTTTTACAAACTTGATCTTTTGAAACAATATTTTCGACACTATAACGTTCTTTTTCATCTTTGAAACGAATCCATAGAGACATAAACTCTCGATGCACATAACCACTCGGATGTGTCTCAAGAATCTGGTGAATCGTTTGATCCATAGATTCTTTACTCAATCCATCCTTTATAAATGATATTTTATCTTCTCGATTTTCGGACACGAACCCCACAGATGTACATCGTATGTCACAAGTCCATCGAGCGCATTTGAAGCATCCACCTAATCTTTTTGCTCTTCGTTTCTTTGCAAAAGTACTTTTACCATACCTGGCATATATTTGTATGAATTTGGAAACTCTCCAGACAATCGAACTTTTGCTTCAATCAACCATCGAATATCACTTGGAATATCATTAATCATTAGCACCCTCAATCTTTTCAATCGAGATCGATAAATCCTTTTTATGATATTTATTGGGAGAAAAGAATAACATTTACGGATATTTGAGAGTGCTAAATCCATTTGTGAATTCGGACCTTTGTTAAGGAAGATTGAATGATTTACATGATAATTTATAGAAATGATGCGTATGCGATACGACTCTAAAAACAGAGCTTAAAAGTCTTTATGTCAGAAGGCATGATACGCGTTCTGAATTTAAATATTGTGTGCACTTGAAGTGCATTTATTGCCGCCGAAAGATGATGTGATATGATTGTGATAAATATGAATTATTGTGATGTTTACCGATATAAATGATAATGGTTTGCATGATTTGTGACATGTGATGTTTTGTTCTCGATTGATGAAAATTATTACTAGCTTAATATTTGTGACTCAATATGAAAAGGGGTACGATATATGGGTCTACTACCTCTCCATATGTGCTACTAGATATTATGGATCCACTAGATAGCCACATGATTATATGACTTGTAACTTGAAGTTACAAGATATTTTGAGCAATTAATATGCATATGACACGTAACCTGAAGTTACAAGATGATTATGAGATAATGAAAATAAGTGTCATATGAAAAAGTTAGTAATATACTCATTTGATATGAATGAACTATTGAAATGAAAATGTACACATTACAAGTAATATGAGTTCAAAGTTCTCCTATTATATATATATATATATATTGAAATCCAGAACAGAACGGAGAATTTATGAACTTCTCTCAAGAAATTCAATATTGAAAATACAGATCAGAGAGTTGTTAAGACGAGTGGGATAATCAATGATTGAAATTTATCACACTTGAAGTGTGCAAATAAACTGAATGATATTGATGGAGGTGAAATATGTGAAATATTATGATGGTGGAATAATACGCTGGAAGCGTTGATATTGTGATACTCATGGAAATATTAGTATGATGAATATATGGAATACGCGTTGTACTCTTTTTTCCCTTGACTGAGGTTTTGTCCCATTGGGTTTCCCCAACAAGGTTTTTAATGAGGCAACATAGATGGCGTATTCACATGAATAGTGTACTCTTTTTCCTTAATTAGGATTTTGTCCCACTGGGTTTTTCCTAATAAGGTTTTAACGAGACATATTCATGGTATAATGAGGACTAATGGATAATTGATATAATTCCTCATGATGATAATAAGACACTGGGGTAGCTGTACTCTTTTTCCTTCGATCAAGTTTTTTCCCATTGGGTTTTCTTGACAAGGTTTTAATGAGGCAGCACGTGGATACTCCACTAAATATGATATATTTGAGGGGGAGCAATGTTATGCTTCCACAATGTTCAGGTTTTGTCCCACCGGGTTTTCCTGAGGGAGTAATGGATTGATTGTAAAATGATCAGGTTTTGTCCCAGCTGGTTTTTCTGACATATTGAAGCTTCAGTACTTGATGGACACAAGATAAACTTCAAGATGTTCAGATTATGTTTTGTTCGAATAATGATATTTAGAAAATAGTCATTCAAGGGGGAGTGTTATAATATAGGTGCATGCACCTCGTGAGAATAAAATAGTATATGTGAATGACTATTTTGCCCCTGATGTAATTATATTATTATGATTGTGACATTAGAAGTTTTCCTATAAATAGGAACTTCATTTATAATGAAAATACAACCAAGAGAAAACATTCTCTATATTCTCTATATTTCTCTCTATATTTATGACAATATTTATGTGATAAGTTTTATAACAACATTCATGTTGGATGTGCAATGAACTTTAGTATAACAGGACACTAATATCCGAACCTGATTTAACAAATTTTTGCCCATACTGCCTCTACATCCAATCGAAAAGACGGCAGTATTATCTCTGCCCAGAATAGTTTTTAAACTCGGTCTGGAAATTGACCCGGGCAGGTCTCCGGGTCATCAGGTCACCGGCTCAACTATCGTGTCATTGAATCAATTGCTGAACCGGAAATTAATTTTAAAATTTTTGAAATTATATATATAGTATTTTTGACATATAAATATACATAAAAGTAACAAAAATAAATGTTTTGTATACAAAATTTGTACATTTAAGTGTTAATAATATTGTATCTCACAATAAATATTTATTATATCATTATATTTACATAGTTTTTATTTTTTATATAAAAAATATTAAAAAAATAAAAAATTTATAGAGACCGGGTCAACTGAGGTTGACCCAGTCGGGTCACCCGGGTCGACCGGGTCAAGGCCGGGTTGACCGAGTTATGACCGGGTTTGACCGGGTCCATTGTTACCCGGTCCAAATAGTCCACCCGGACCGGTTTTGGCTCCGGGTTGACTGGGTCCCCGGTCGACCCGCCGGGCCGGTCCGGGTCAAAAGACAATGCTGTCGACAACCAATTTTAATTAAATTAAATTATAATTAAATAAATAAAAATGTACTTAAATGCTACGATCTTATGCCCCAAAGTAGAGCAGCCACAAGTTTGCCATGGGACCTGATTAAATAGAGCATAGCCTGAGGAAAAATGGTGCAAAACAAGCCTAAAAAACTAAATTAAAATGCAACATTATAACCCAGCCAAAATATCTTTAGCTAAAATATGAGAATGAAGTCTCAAATTGTTGACATTAGCTAGTCAATCTCACATATATAGCATATCAACTACATTTCATCGAATATCCGATCGAGCTCATCATAATAGGTAGCATCTAACTAGAAATTAATACGAAAAATATGATAATACGGATAACTGATGAAAGGCAAAAAAATTACAAGATATAAGTGAAGCATATAATATTGGTCAGAGCCATCTGTGCAAAACCATGCACTACGGCACATTTAAGTGTAGGAACTAAGTACTTCAGCAAATTCTAAATTGGTGTTAATGCCTAATGACAGCCCATGAATAGTTGAACGAAAGAGATCCTTTCAGTAAAGTTTAAGTACAAATATTTACTCAGATCTATCACGTAAATGGTTTGTGAACCAAAATGAATCAAAAAGCAAGCATTAAATCACTGAAGATAAGAAAGATTAAAAAGCGTAAGACAAACCTAGCCTTTAACCATTAGCAAATGCCGAATTATTCTACAAACAGAAAAAAATGTAATTCAGTCAAAGAAACGAAAACAATTTTTTTTAAAAAAAGAAAGAAATAAAATGACGCTTTAAGGTGCTCTAGTTGCATTATTTTAGATTCACAAAAGTAATTGCCTAAATTAAAATTTAAAACAGCTCTATACACAGAATTGCCAAAGCGCCTAAAGTTCCTTTTGTGACTGTCAGTATGATGTTCGTGAATATAAAATCAATGACTTAGATAACAGAAGCAAAAACGAATGAATGAAACATAGTTGAGATACTTAACAATACACTCTTTAAAAGACAAAATAGCCGCATATATTATCAACGATTTATGGCTCACGGCTCCAAGATACGACGATTTTTAACTTGTGTATACTAATAATAAAAACACATGAGCCTTCGGCAAACAATACTATTTTGTACTCGAAAAAATGTAGAAACACAAGAACACAATATGAATATGAACTTGCATGTAAAAGAACTCTTAAATTTCAAGTAAATGATGATGCGACATTCGTGAGATATTTATAGATGCAACTCATCTTTTCCTACACGTCAAACTTAGAATTATTTTTTTCATTTTACCATGAAATGGGTTTGAGATTTTTCGAAATCTTCCGTTGACGAAACATGAAAACCGTAAAATCAGTATAAAACTAATTTTTCTTACAGTGACAACCACATTTCGCGACTAGTTAAAAGTCAAACCAGATATCGTGACTAGTAAAATCCACAATTCGTGACTAGCTAAATGAACAATGGAAATGGAGAATGTTTAAAATCTGGCACGAAAAAGTCAGGCCTAATCCCAAAGGAACAATATCCCCACGGATGAACCCAAAGAGTTTCATACAGTATGCGGCCATAAAACAAAGCAGCCAAACATCCACACTGGAAAGAGATTTGACATGCGATGAAATCCTGTTTACCCGACAGAGAAAAAAGAAGGTATGAAAAAGAAAACGCACGACCTCAGCATAAAACTCATTTCATCTTGGCTTCAGTGAACAAGACATGGCGATTCACGCGAGGGTCGTACTTTCGGAACTCGAGCTTTATGTTATTGCTCTGAAGCCTCTTTGTCTTTTTCACCACGTAGAAAAACCCAGTCCCGGCAGCCGAGACAAGCCTCACCAGCATAGCACCAGCCTTCTTCTTTTCACCCATTTTATTTTACCTAATAAAAAGCAGCAGCAGGTGATCACAATTTTATTTATTTTTACATAAAACTGGGGAAAAGCCTCTATTGGGAATAATATCAAACACTTGGCACACAGTTTTCGAAGTCCTAACATTCAACAACCTGGGAAAGAAAAAGAACATACAGGTTGGTTGGGTAGAGTAAGCAACAAGAAAACATTCATTTTTGATACTCAATCTTCGAGAAAGTAATCTTTGAGGAGTAACATCAAACAGTAAGTATACAATGTATGTACACATAAATTCCTCTGGTCAGTGAAAAGTAAATATAGATATGATTTAAATATATCCAACAACAATGCACACCTATGTGAAGCTGCGGACACCTATGTGAAACTGCGCAAAACGAAATGGGTTGAGAGAATTACCAGTGCTAGTGCTGTGAGAGAGAGTTCGGTGAAACGGAGGATGTTAATGAAAAGAAACCTTAAAGAGCAATAAATCATTACTAGTATAATACCGTGTATTTATACTTAAAAACTTAAAAAAAAAAAAAAACATGTATTGAATTTTAAATATTTTTTTAAAAAAATTATTATTTATATTTCCAGTGACACTCGTCACTTATACGATTTACTCATCTTATATTTAGATATTTTTAACTTATATCACTACATTATAGTTAAATTAATTTAAATTATTTTATTTTTTCACAATAACATTAATAGATAATGTATTTTTACTATAAAGGTAAAATATAATTATTAATTTATTTTGTACAATATAAATCTTTACTCGAACTCATTAAGAGATGATTAATTTGATATATTATAAAAAAAAATTATAATTAATACAAAACTACTAACTTTATAAATATTTTTATAATTTAAGTTAATAATTTTAAAAGAAAGACTAAGAAAAAGAAAAAAACTGAGAAAATAGTTATGCCTTAAAGAACATTTCTAGAATAACAAATTATATTAAAATATGATTGATGCTTCTAAAAGATATCATAAACATCCAGTATATTTATGGTAATTTCAAGAAAGATAATTATGCTTCTAAAAAGTATCATAAATATCTAGTATATTTATGGTTATTTCAGGACTATGTATTTAGAAGCAAATTAAAATCTACGCAATCCAAATGACAAAGCATAAAAATAGACATACAGGATATCAAAGCATGCTACCCTATTACTTAAGTTCAGTACATGTAAAGATATAGAGGAATTCGGAAATATATAGGGGAAATTTTCATCTATCCTACAAGATTTAGATTTATTTGCAATTTTACAGCTACTATAAATTTAAATGCATATGTACCTAAAAGTATTGAATTAATTGGAGATTTACTTGATTTCAGTTACCATACAAATAAACGTTGACTCATAAGAGAGAGAAATGAAAATAAATGATTTACCCATTTAATTCCTTAATTCGCGCAATTGGAATTCCTTAATTCACGCAGCTGTCAGGTGATATATATTGTGTTTATGTTAGTATATATTCAGTATATGTGCGCAACTAGAATTTTTTAATTCACGCAGTTGCAGGTGGTATATATTGCATATATGTTAGTATATATTCAATATATGTTGCAATCAGTTTATGCTAACTATAAATTGATTTTATACATAAAAATTATGTCTCGCGATAAATTTCTTTATCATATACCGAAAATATACTGAATATAAACCATACATATACAAAAAAAAAAAAAATCAGTTTATGGTTTGTCAAATTCATTTTTTAACAACATATACTCCATATACACACCACATATACTGTCTGTCTAGACACGCAATATATACTGCCGTGAACATATACTATACATATACCGTAGATATACTGTCATCTCCAACTTGGGAGAGATCTTAGCCCTCGGAAATTATTCCCAACACATCAGTCGTCATCTTCCTCTCTGCAGAGCCACGCCAAGCCATCGCCGTGCATACCGCCAGATCGAGAGTTCCCGTCGTACGTCACAGCCCTTCGCCGGCCTTTTTCCCTTCAGCGACGATTGTCGCGTGTAGCCAAGCAGCACACGTATCGTCGCTGAGCAACAATGGTCAATCACCATACGCACGATGTCCGCCCTTCAGCCCTCCGCCGTGCACAACTTGTAGCCGCCGACGACGCCATAGACTCTGACACAAGTTTTGGTTTTGTTTTTGAAGGGATTTTGCGAAGTCGGGAACTAGACCTAATTTGTGGGGTGTCGTCGGCCATGTTTGACGGTTTTTTCCGGGTAGAACGTGGTACTTTAGTCTTGGCCATTGAAGTGTGGTCGGGAACGAGATGGAGGTTTTGCAGAAAGAGAGAGATGCGTGAACGAGGTTTTGCAGAAAGAGCGAAATGTGTGGACGTAGTTTTACAGAGATTGAAATTTATTTCCGATTTATTTGGTAAGAATATCTTCATCGTTGATCTCAATGTAATTAATTAGCCCATTAATATCTTAATAACGGTTGAAAGAATTTTAACCATATTAGGTAGTTTTGCAATATTTTTTGGTTGATTTGGTAATTATATAAATAAAAAAAAAAAAATTGAATGTAAGTGTTATATAAATTGAATAGGGGAGTATGTGGTGCAAATTCTTCTATATATATTTGTGGTGTATATAAATGTATTTGTCGAGTTTGAGAGGAAAAGTCTTGGGCATGGATAGACTTATCTCTTGCAGTGGGGGCATGAGATATGCTACTGCTTCTTTGCATTTGTGTCACGATTAGAGACCTGAGTGAGCAACCGACCTGTGGTTGCCCTCGTAGTATTATTATTCGCGAGTGAGGAACCGAGCTTGATATTGCCCGCTGCGCTTTTGTATTCCAATTATCGGTCGTCTGAACCACAGTTTTGATATATAAATTTACTTTTACCGATAAAAAAGAAAAAAGAACATATATAANGGGCATATTCAGTTGGGATTTCAAGTGACATTTTGAGATTTTTTAAGACTTGACTTGAGAGTAGTAAGATTTTCAAATTTTGGAAGAATGTTGTGAAATCTTAGTTTGGAGGTGAGATTTATTTATTTATTTATTTATTTTTGAGGTGGGATTTACAAAGTTTTTTTTTGTAGAAATCTCATCAAATCTTAAAAAGTCTCGACAAATCATAGTCTCAAATAAAAGTTAACTATCTCAGGATTTTGATTTTGTAAGACTTTTTTAAATCTCAATTGAATACTCAAGACTTTTAAAAGTTTTAAAAAGTCTTAACAAATCCAAATTGAATACATTCGAACTTTAAAGTCTTAAAAAGTATTTAGAAATCTCAATTGGATACACCTCGAAAATTATTTACTTTTATGCATGAAAGGATGTGATTTTATATATTAATAGTTATTTGAAAATAAATGGATCTTCCATTATTCCATAAAATAAAGTTTAAGTGTGCCTTAAATAGAGATTATATTTAACATAAAAAATTGGGTAATGTAATATTTTTATTATTTTTATTTTATATGCAGATCTGTACTAGGAAAATACATATAAAAATAAACTAGCCAAGCCTATCCACTATGTTAATTATTTATGTCGAATAAAATTTTAAATATATATGTTATATATTTATGAATTTATTTTCATATTATGTAGATTTATATTTGGGTGTTGCTAAATACCGCACCCTTTTTGCTAAATACCGCATCCCAATTTACACTTTTGCCCTTTTTATAAAAAAAAAAAA